TAAATAAATAAATAAATAAATAAATAAATAAATAAATAAATAAATGCTCTATCGTCGGAGTCCATACCTCCTTACCCACAGTTCTGTATCGAAGCTGACCCTCCTTTGGTACGAGATAATGATTTCGATTTGTTTTAAAACTTTATGTATTATACATATTTTGTTTTATATGAAGATCGATTTCGCGCGCCAACGTACTTCTCATTGTCAGATGAGAACTGTTCTCTGGGCTAGACTTAAAAATCGCCGGGATCAGAAGTAGTGAAGACATTGGTGGGATAGACACAACCTTCTCAGGGAAGCCTAGGTGCAGTTAAGCTCCATAGCATAGAATCGAACCTTTTATCTCCTCTAATGAGTTGAATTATCAGTCGCCGTGGGACAGCGATTGACGGGTTGGTGAGAACCCCTAGAGGGATGCTCAACTGTATGCGGTGCTACTCTGTACCTCCCAGCAACTAACAGTAAAGCAATGGTTCATGGAGAAGAATAAAACGTAGCGCATGATCAACTTTACCAAATCAGGGAGAACAATTACAGAAAAATTCGAATAACTTACCGTACAAGCGGAATACATTTATCGGTCACCCATTGCTTGAAGAATTCGTAATCTCGCATATTCCCAGTAAACTGAAATTATAGTGGTCGGTCTTCAAGCCACAGGGGTCTCCTTTCGTAAAATGAAGTAAGGTACGTGTAGATGTACAAGACTGCTTATAAATTTTTTAGAGGAGTGTTGTAATGCTGAATGACGCATTATGTATATTGTAAGCAAGGCCCCAGGATCGAGTCTTATGTTGATAGGCTCTTACACCCACCGAGTCTCCCATACTCCGTGGTCGGTTACTAGGTAGTATGCCCGTCAAAGAGGAAAAAGCTTTTACTCGAAACACCGCCTCAATTTTGAATGAAAGGGGAATGCATGTAGCATGCCAAAACGGCATTGATCAACTTCAAAAAATTCTCTCTAATCTTTTAAGATGTACCTTTTGCTCATTCTCGTCATCAGGATCGTAGTAAGACAGCTTATTCTCATTGAGTGAAGCAGTGGCAGCTTCATTGGCTACCCAGAAGGTGCACTCCTCTCGAAGTAACGAGGCAACTTTCTGAAAAATGCTACTTTATATTTCCGAAAACTTTTTATAGGAAGCAGAATCATATTGACAACACCCTAAACATACAAATGAATTTTTTTACAATCAAAAGCATTGACTTAAACATTGGTTGGCAACCGCAAGTCATTGTATAGGCCATGTACGAATTCAACACGTCATTACGATTTTGAATGGAAGTTGTGCTCCGTAAGACCACAGCATCGAGAGTGGCGACCTTCTCGATGCTGTGGTCCGAGGCTTTAGAGGCGTGTCTTCAATTTAGAACCGCAACCACTTGGAAACCAGCACAGTTAGGTTTTGTAAGGGCATTCTAATTGGGTGCTACAATTACAGTATTAGCGATGTTTGAGGCGGAAGCGCAAACACACGTTTTATGGCAGAGCGGAGGAGCACTAGGACACAACGAGACGTGTTCTTCATTGAAGCTGATTTTCTTCGCCCTCCACTATCACAATTTGCCTCAAAACAACCTAAAGGCATTCACAGAAGCATATAAATCTCCCATACTACTATAGTAAAGCTTTCATTCAGCGGCTTTCGTATACCAACTAACTAAACTTCATTCACACATTCCCACTCATTCCTGTTGAAAAATGACGACGGTATTACAAATTAATCAGGTTATCATCAGTAGAGGAAAAGGCACTGGAAAGCATGCTCAACTCACTTTAAGATTCGAATATTCCTCTCCACCTCGTTTCACCCAAGCCACTACATTCCTCTTCGTTTTATCCATAGCTGCAGTGAGCTGCTCCTGGGTTTCAAACTCATTGATCGCCGTTGACAACTGGTACTTGACGAAAGCAGTCAGAGCCTCGACTGATCGTGTGGATCTTCAAAGTAATCCCCATTATGTCCAATTTTTTCACAAATATTCATAAACAATGAATTTGTAGCATCATATTTGTACAGTAAAACTATAAACACCACTTAATAAACAGGGAAGAGTTTGAACACAGCAGTTTAAGGTAATCTACCTAGTAATACCTGTATTCTTTTTGGATGAGCTCTCCATTAACAAAAACTTTCATCGTTGGGTATTTGTTTACGTAGTATTTGTCGCCAACATCCACCTGAACACTATACATATTTGAGCAGGAGGAGTCATTGTCATACCGTCAGTAAAGAAAACTAGGAATAAACAGTAAGGAAATGGTAGAACAATACATAGGAATAGAATAGTAATAATAGATAAAAAGAAGTTCCTCGGACCTGAAAATCATGCTTACCTGACGTACGCTGTCGACGATCGCCCAAACGACACTCGCTTGGGGATTTTCTTGTTTGAATACACGAGCCGATTCTTCAAAAATCGGCTTCAAACGTCGAGAAAATGGACACCAATCGGCACAAAAGGCAACAAAAACTACCTAAATAGCATTTAGAAGTTTTTGTTTATTCTTTCCCGAATCGTTCAGCCAAATGTGGCATTCAGAATCAAATTTTTATAGCACGATGAGCTGAACCCTTTGACGACCCTGCGGTTCGTGCGCAGGTCATGCCCTATCGGTGGGTACGCGTGGGACGTAGGCGTTCCACGGTGATGCAAGATTTTCTTTCGAAGTTGATTCAGGAAATGGTATCTCGAAGGACCATGAACCTGGTAGGCGACAGCAGCAATCGGCGAAGCGCTTTTGATATCACGCGTCGGGCAAGTATGAAAGCACGGTCGGCAATGGGTTAATCAGTTCCAAAGTACAACTTTTTTAGGATTATTAGGAGGGTACGGTACCGCTTTAGCGAGTCCCGAATCTTCGGCAGACTCCGCCCTTGTTCATTTGTAAGTCGGACAGAAGTTGAGCCTTTTTCTTGTGTTGAGTATACCGCTGAGCTGAGATCTTCGAGTCATCGAGCTCTACGAGAGATGCTTTAAAAAACTATAAAACCTCTGATTGCTTGCGAATGTAGGTCCAAATAACAGCGGAGACGCTAATCTGTAATCAAGTCATCAACAAATCCCTGCGGAGCATTGGTATTAGTCCTGTCTCGTCTACCGATCCTACGGGTATCTTCTCAAACCGGGGCGAAATATCTTTCAGACTTGTGAATGCCAATCGTGCCATTTCAAAACAGCGTTTTGCAGATTTTTAAGCACTTCCTGTAGAGCTCAATGATGAATCAAACGATATATTCAAATTCATGAAGGAAAACCTACGAACAAACCCCTATCAAAACAAAAAAGGAGGTACTACCTTCCCCTCAC